CTCGTTGTACTATTATATGAACAAGGTTAACCCACTTGCATAGTGATTTGGCCCTCTATTTTTCAATATTGCAATGTCATTGAATACCAGATGCATTGAAGAGGCCACTTTCATTATGCGAGCACATCCAGCATGTTAACATTAAATAACAGTACTGCCTTTACAGCATCTGAGGTTCTACAATTCAGAAGAGCTCATTAAGAGAGATACAGCTTACAAATAAAGAATCCCTAAATGCATACCTTGATGAAAGAATTTCTCACACATGTTTTCCACCAGACAACAGTAGGCAATTTTGCAGCATGCCCAAAACACGGGTACTTTTTGGCCATTTCTGTGTATGCAAGTTTGAAGCCCTCGTGCATACGTTTGTAGTCAGGGCATGGCAGGCCAACAGATTTTGCTGCCATACAATAGTAGTCACCAAGCTCACCTTTGTAAGCTATGAGGGTACCAGTGACATCCACAGTGATGCAGCGTAATTTTGACAGCAGAGACATTGCGAAGGGGGCTTCAGAAAAATGAAGAATATCAAAGTTTTTAATGGGGGAAATTCAATTGTCTCATTAATATAAATAGTATCCTAAAGGCAATGGATGGCGTCCCAGATCAAGCAGTTCAATAGATCGCACAAGTCCTGGATCTGCATAATTGACAAGAATAGGTTATGCAATGCTAACTTCAACAAATAATCATAATTGAATAAATGCCATCAGCATAGTAGTCAATACATAAAGAACACAGCAAGTTGATTCTCCATTGATAATAAAACATTTAGTGAACATCATTTTATCAAAATAAATATTTTCAAAAACTAGTTGTTTGAACATTAGGCATGTTAAAAAGGCAAATTCCAATTAAGCACTTGAGCTATTTCTAATGGACAGTTCACAGCTAACAGAGTATAGAGCCATACATGTCCGCTATGATTTAAATTGCATTTAAGTCCACAATCTCAAGAAGTTGACACAGATCAATTGAAATTTAAGAAAACACGAGCAGAGCATGTAATAGAGATGTAGGCTGTTTGCTTCGTTATGACATTTATCCAAGAGTTACTTGACAAAACGAATACTAGCGTGGAGGAAGCCAATAACTGATTTGATAAGGTTTGGTCAAGCAAAGAAAAGAGGCATGCCTAGTAATACAAGTAGAATCCAGAAGAGGTGAGGTCTGGAAGCTAAATAGCTTAGATTTAGTAATTCCACCTATAAAGTGAATAATATGTGAGCAAACACTAACCTATTGGGTACCATTACAATGAGGTTTGAAAGGAAAGCTTGAAATTTGAGCCATTATTTTAAAGAGGCCCCTGGCAAAATTTATGGGTTGGTGGGAAGTATGGGGGTGCTGCCAAATAGGTTGGATGACCTAATTTTTGCAATAGGAAGAAACGCTAATTTGACATGAAAAGAGTGAGGAGAGATGGTTCGTTCTAGGGAAACAAAGACCCCAAAAATAAACTAACCTAATACCAATAATCAGCTGCCTTTATTTTATGATAAAGGCTGCATTTTATAGTGGTAACGCTAAATGTTTCCTACTGAATTAAGCCACTAGAGTACAGGACTCCCTACTTAAACTGGCCTGTAAGAAAAAGACTTACTGAAACTACTTTCTGAGCCTACAAACTAGGAGCATATCAAGAGCAACAGATAATTCTAAAACGAAAACAGCTTGCAGCAACTTCCCAAATAATAGTGGTTGTAGGTGACGTTCTGTCCTTCATACTGCAGGCATAGTAAAATGGAGGAAAACGGTTCATGCCATGGCATGGCTCATTGATAGATAAGCACCAAATTCATGGCTGCATGGCTCATTGATAGATAAGCACCAAATACTGCCAATCAATTGATTCAAGACAAACACAAAATGGTCCCATGCATAAGCATCAAGAAGACTCCTAGGCAGCCTACAAGGAGGCCAGGAAAGCATATGCCAAGTTCCCAACCCTTACATATTAGGAAAGGACAGAAGGGGAACAGATTATAAAGGCTTTTCATTCTTACTGATTGAGCAGGAGGAGAATATCCTTGGTGCAACTTCATCAATTAGATCTTCTTAATTTCTTGTTTTCTAGATTAAGTTGACAAACTATTTTTCACTAATATCAATCGATGAAACCTAAAGCACACAGGCAATTGCATGATTATTGAATTTGACCAAGGAACATCCATTCTATATTCCTCTCTCAAGGAGCTCTCAAATTGCAACTGTTATAAGAAACTTCTTGTCATTTTTTTTGTCCTGCATTCAAATCAACATGCATATTCAATTTTTCCCCAACTATTTATATTGATTTTTTCTCCAGAAACCATGGAAAACAAATTCTTCTTCACTTTGTACTGTTGCAAGACCACAAAGGTATATTCAATTATAAACCAGCATATTATATCCAAGCCCAGCGATTCTAGAAGAACAACATAAACTTTCCATACCAAAACACCTTAATGAAACTGCATTTCTAATGCACATTTCATAAACCCTTTCCGGATGAATGTCCAAAATTAAGACAAGAATCCCAGCAACCAGAATCTTTCTTCCACAGTTTCTTTATGAAAAAACTCCTCGTGTTATGCATGTCCACCCAAAATTTGAGGGGCTTGTCCAAAAGTCAGAAAAATGTTGCTCTATGAACTGACTATATAAAGTCACTCACCATGACAACTGAACAAATCTAAGATCAACGCTTTAATCATTATTTTCTTCTTCCTTTTTTGTGAAGTCTAAAACTTTTATCACCAGGTTGAATTAGATAGGCATAAAATGGGTTCCTTAATAATCTCTAAGATTGTGAAACACATTGACACATGCTCATAGCGAGAATAAAAAAAGCTACATCCGGCCAAAAGAACTCATCAACTAAGCAAGCCATTGCATCACAAAAGCAAGAGACATAGAGAGCGGAATCACTAGCCAAATCCAATTCAATGTCACCCCAAATGTATCGAGCTTAGCAAATGGGTATCACTAGCCAAATCCAATTCAATATCACCCCAAATGTATCGAGCTTAGCAAATGTACATGACCCACTGTCAAATCTAATCGGTTTCCTTAATTTTCTTTAATTTAAACATTGTATTAGCAAGATCATGCATTTGACAGATAAAAAGAAGTATATATCAAGGAAATGGATTCCTCTCTTCTTTATATATTTAAAAGAAGAGGAAGTCAAGTTGTATATACATGTGAAGCAGTAGCCAAAAAATTATTGAAAAAAGAAAACCCATTAAGCAAGAAGGGAAAGTAGACATACCCAGAAGCTGAAATGAAAAGGAATCTGAGTTTTGCTTCTTGCAAATCAAATCACCAATGGTTTTTTTTAAAAAAAAAACTTTCAAGTTGTACTAGAATCTTGAGCTCCAAACTGGTCTCCCTGCTCTTACAAGAAACAAACAGGTCTTGGAACACACCCACCTGAACCCTCTCTCCTTTCCATGTATGTGCATATATACATGTGCAAGTGCCTCTATTTATCAATGGCAAGACAGTTGAGTTCTCTGAGCAGGGGGGAGGGGGACAGAGTCGTCTTTGTAGTTTACATTAACGTATTTAAGAAAATCTGATTCTGCAGTGAAAGGTTTTTCTTTTATTTTTTTCTTCTTGTATCACGTCCTTTATGTTAGGTATTATTTTGTTTTGGTCCCCTTTCCCGTTTCCCCATTGCACCGCATCTCTTTTGCTCTAAATACAGGAGGGTGGGACTGAAAAGAAAAAGGAAAAAGGAGAAAGAAAACTAGAGTAGCAGCTATAATGGAGAAGGGGTGTCTAAAAGCGTAAATAAACCAAAAACTGAGGAGCTACATGACAAGATTTCCAAGGATGGTAAAGTGGATCGCAGAAAACCATGGACAGTTAGCCAGCGGTTTTGCTGACTGAAGGCGAACAGCTCACGTGCGTTAATTGTCTCTAGTCGAGGAGCCAAAAATACAATGAGCTGATTTTCTAGCTGCTTAATTTCCCCCGGTTTGGTGTGTGCTAGTTTTGCGTAGCGTAAAACCTAACCTCCAATTAATATTATATTAGCGGTATTGGTTATTTAAATTTTAAAATGTTTTCATTTAAAAATATATTAAATAATATATTTTTTATTTTTTAAAATTTATTTTTCACATCATTACATCACAATTTTTTTAAAAAAATAGATTGAAAAAAAATAAAAATAAAAACTTAAAAAGCACTTATTTAATGCAAAAGGAAGTGCACATCTCACCCAAATTGAAAAAAATAAAAAAACTTAAAAAGCACTTATCTAATGCAAAAGGAAGTGCACATCTCACCCACTCATAGAACATAAGGAGAGGGGGGATGAACAGGGATGTTGTCCGGGGGAGGATAACAAGGAAAAATAAAATACTCAACTATATTGTTAAATGGGATTCATGGTTTTAACATTCGACTTCATATTTTACTTTTTCTATAATTCATCAATTTGATGTGAATTAATGGATCTAATAACGTGTGTGCGCGTGTATAGAGTGGTTGTTTGCCGAGATCCAACCATATCTCCTCACTCTCTTCAAGTCAAATTAGCGTTTTTTCCCATGGCAAGCAGTAGGCAGTCCACCCTCTTTAGCAACACTGCATGCTTCCCACAAACCTAGAAATTTTGCAAGGGGCCTCTTCAGAATAATGGCTCAAATTTCAAGCTCATACGCAAAGCCTATTTTTTATTACCATTACAATGAGGTTTGAAAGGAAAGCTTGACATTCGAGCAAAACTGACTTGTTATCATTAATGATAAAGAACTGGTCCTGATTAAAAAAGCATAAAAAAGAGTTAGCAAATACCTAACCTTTTGTCTGTACAAGAAGCTTTTTGTTTTTATGGCCTTACTCTTACATCTGACATAAATTACTTATGGCGAAGTAGATTTGATGCCTAGTGTCTACTGTTTCTCTTGGTATAATATTAATTTGACGTAAAGAAAAAAATATTTTAATAACACAAACAAATAAAGTTCAAAATTTATTTAACTTATTAATTCTGCATCAAGAAAAAAAAATCAAAATAATTAAGAGCATACAAATATAAATAAGATAAACAAAGGTATATTACAAAAATCATGGCAAAAAACATGTTCTTAAAAATAGAAGTTTTTGAACCTTACAATTTCCAGCATTCATTGACATCATTAATATAACCTTAGCACGCTTCTTTCAGTTCATGTTGCTGTCCTTATTTATCTTCAAACACAAAGCATCAATTATCAACTGGAATGACCTTTTTTCTTGTTCCAATTTTGTATTTTTTGCCTCGAGTTGTATTATGTTCAAGCTGTCCCGATTGTTGATTCTCTTAGTCAGCAGATCATTTTCACATTTCAGTCGTTCAATCTCAAGTTGTCGATCTATATCTCTGCACATAGCCTGTAAAACAAAATAAAATAAAATAAAAAACAATAAAGATATACATATTTTACATAACCAAACAAATAATATGATCATAAATTTATTACCAAGCTCTTATCATTGAATTTAAGAATACATGCATGGACAATCATTGCTATAATGATTAATGATAGAGTTACTATATTTTTATTAAGAATTAGTTACCATTTCATCTAATTAATTGCGATGTCGTATTTGTGGTTAAATAAATGCTATATAATTTATATGAGCTTTTGTGTTTGTTTTTCCTTTACAAACAATTTTAACTGTTTTTTAAAATGTTTTTTAAAATATTTTTTACATGAAAAGGTATCAAATTGATGCATTTTTTTGGTTTTTCTTTTATAATTTTGATGTGCTCATATTAAAAATAAAAAAAATAATATTATTTTAATGTATTTTATTACCATATATTACAAAACCAAACATACATGCATCTATGCCTATTTGTACACAGAAAACATCAATAAAGATTTCAATAACAAGCAAACTAGAAATTCAAGTATAAATGATAATATTAAAACTTATGGTCCGTGTATCGAAGGAAAAAATATACCATAAACTAACATCTCCTTATCTTAATGGTAACTTAGATAAATTTTTTTTTTTCTTTTTAATTTTAGAACCTGCCAAGTGGACCAAGTCAATTTAAAAAAATTCCTACACAATTTAATTTGAAACTTGAACCAAGTAATAAGTCAAGTAGAGATTTTAAAGTTTGACTTGTGGACCAATTTAATGACAATATTAAAGTGTTCCTGGCAACATGGATGTTATTTTTTTATGTTCAAAATACTTTTAGTCTAACCCACCATATGGCTTAAGAAGTAACCTAGTACATACCTTGAAGAAAAGAACATTTCTGCATGAGGTTTTTTATTTTTATTTTTTACAAGCTCGTGTGCTAGAAAGAGCAACTCATTGTGCTTTGAAAATTAGATACACTTAGAGATTCATGTTTTAAGAGTTCTCTAAAATTATATTGGTTCTAATTGTAGTAAAATTTATCTATATAAGATCATTATCTCCTGGTTAAGCAAGATCTATTCAGAAAACTAATCTTTCTTAATTATTTTGGAGAAGAAAATCAGTGGCCATCCATGTTCCTCACCATTCAGCAAAAAAGAAAAGGGAAGCTTTTGAGTTTTCTAAATAGGAAATTTAGACAAGTCATTGATAATCAAATCACCCTCATCAAGCACAAGGATTCGGTTAATCAGATCATAGTCAAATAAAAAATTAATCCTCATGCACTGGCTTTCTACTTAGAATCTGGATGGTTTAGCTAGATTAAAGTTTGCAATTAAGAGATGTTCAAAAACTGCTCTTAACCAACTCAGTCCTTTGTTAATCATTTATATCAAGTTAACAACGAGGATCTTAATAGAGTCTGGATTACACTCAAGTCTCAAATTCTAATTTACTACATAACAGGTTGGTCAGACATCTCAAAGATGTTAAAACAAAGGCTAGTTTATTACCTAGATGTCCATTTAATTAAAGAAGAGGTAAACAGGCTTAGTAAATAGAAAGCTAAGAAGTTTAAGGGAACAAAACATATAAGTGGTTTCCCAATTACCCTAACTTTGAGGCATCATATGATATTTGCCATTGCAGAAGCCTTATCCAGCTACAAAGCCATAAGCATTTGAAAGGCCATAAGCATTTGAAAGGATTGTTTTATCGTTACAAAAAACCACAATCCTTGCTTGTCATTTATAATTGTTGAGTAAAGCCAAAAAACCTTTATTCATCCTTTGTATCAGCTATAACAAAACCATAAAATAAACCCCCTTCAAAGCTTGAATCCTAATGCCAAGATAAGATAGAAATAGTTAGTTGACATATGGTACACTAAAAGCTAGCCGACCAAGATTATTATTAAAGAATAAAGGGTCAGGATCTTGCAAAGGGATCAAGTTTCAGTTCCTTTATTATGGCTTATAAAATAGAGGTTTGATCGAGAGATAACAAACACTGAAATAAAAGATAAACACCAACATAGGCTTGACTTAGTTGATGCAGAGATTAGGTTTCGCCTAAAGAGCAAATCTTAATCATTTTAGTCTTGTTAAATCATAATACTTTTTGTTTTTTGGGCTTTTATTAGCGCTAAATACCCCACTTTTAGGTGTGTTTTGGGTTACAAGAAAGGTAGAAATAAGCCTAAAACTTTTATAAAGAGTCTAAAATTCATTTCTGTTGAAGTTCAAAACATAGCATAAATAGGGAAGTTCCAATTTATCCAGAAGTTCATTACAATATAAAGCCAAATTTGACTTTTAATCTGTATCTAAAGTTATAGATGTCAAAATAAAGCATGCTTATGCGAGTAGAAAAGATGATAACGAGGTCTGAAACATATGTTAATGGCCCAACTCCAAACTGTGTCATTTTGATGCTCTAAATGTAGATGGAATCCGATTAGCCAAGCTACGAGGAGGAAGAAACATAAAAAGATAAAGGGAAAAAAATGACCAAAAAGAAGAGAATACGTTGTGGTATCATCACCAAGGTCTCGATTAACAGACCTTTATTCTCGCAGCAGTAGCAAAAACATCAAATTCAATCCATTTGTTTTAGGGAAAAGGACTTATGAGGTCTGGACCTACATTCTCAAGGCAGAAATATCACTTTTTGCAACAACAACAGTTTTATCAAGTATAAACTTATGTCATCTTTAGAATAAATATATTTGTTCATGTATACTCTTGCTTTTCAGAATATGTCTACATAATTGCATGTTTCATTTTTTTTTCTTGATTTCTTTCCTCTTGAAAACTTGAATGGTAGAGAGTTTAGTTAAGTGTTTATATGATGGATTTGTTTTCTTTTGGTTGAACCATTTTCTAGTTCAGTTTGTTTGTTTTAACAGTTGTTTCTCTTCATGTTATGCTTATAATTTTATATGAACAGGATTTTAATTGCAATCTCTAGCTTGAATGTCATAGTTTAAGTGATATGAATTTTGGTGAAACCAAAAATAGTTTCCCTTGGTGGCATATGTATTGGTATTTCTCTCAATATACTTTGATTAAACATATTTTTATGGTTAGGCCAATAAGTCTCCTAGTTTTAGAGATAAAAGTAGATCCAACACATTATTTTTAACTTTAAAACAAGTTTTGACGATAAATCAATAAGTTTTCATCAAGTTAACTATTCCTTGTTTTAATGTTAAGGTTGACAAGTCTTCTAGTTTTAGGGATGAACATAAACTTAACAAGTTGATTTTTACTTTAAAATGAGTTTGATAATAAATCAATGAGTTATCATCAAGTTTTGTATAGGCTTTTAAATGGTTATGTTGATGAGTCTCATAGTTTTAGAGACCAAAACAGACCTAACATGACATCTTAACCTTAAAATTAGTTCAAAAATATGTTGACAAGTTTTTATCAAGTTAGCAATGTTTTGGTTAAGTTTGGTTTTTAATGACTAGATCAAAAATCAATAAAAGTAAGGCAGATAAAAAAACTAATTAGATACCATGAATTCAGGTATGTAATAAGGTATAAATAGTATTGGGTTTAAAACAATAAATCCTTTTGTATAAAAAGCAATGCTCTAACTATTGAGTTAAGGTAATTTAGAATAAAAAAAAGAAAGAAATGGAACTCGTCACATCAATGAATTATATATATAATATTATTTATAAGAAATAATGAATTAGATGTTGGATCAAGCAATATTCATCTTATTCATCTTGACAATAAATTATCCACGTGATAAAATATATATTGTTATAATCTAATTTTTGAACCAATAATAAAAATTAAATATAGTTGACAATGAGTTAAGATAACATAAAATTTGAAGTTCAAGGATGTAATTATAAAAGTTTGAGAGTTAATGGATCAATGTGGAAAAAATTAAAAGTTAAAGATTTAATTAAGGGCTGAATGGAATAATCTGAAAATTAAGGACTGTTTTGTAAATAGTGTTATAATTCAAGGATTTAATTGGAATTAATTAAAAAGGGGAAAAATTAAAAGAAATTTTTAATTGCTCAGGGATCCAATTGTTGAATTTCCAAAGTTCAGGAGTCAAAGTGAAAATGTGTCCTTTGCCGAACGTCGTCGTTGCTAGTGGGAGAGCCGTGTGATCTTCTCCATTCCGATTCAACTGGAGACCTGAAAATCTGCAACAGATTCAATTGTGGATCACGACCCTTACCCACAATCTCGCTTATGGAAGATACAGTCCTGCGAAGGCAGGACTAATTAGGGGTAAGTTGGGGGTCTCTATAAAATGAGAGCAGAAAACCTAGTAATGGGGACAAAAGGAAACCAAGAACAAAAAAACTAAAAAAACCGAGGGGAAGAACACTAGGAAACAGAGAACGAGTGGAAGACGAATAACACAAGGAATCGAAACAAAAAACACAGAGGAGAAAAATAGAGAGATCACAGAAAGGAGATTGAAGAGAAAACGAAGGAGAACGAACGAAACAGAGGGGGAGGGGAATTTCTCGTCAGCCACCACACCTTCATATATCATCATCTTCGTCTGTCCCTCGGCAAGCACAGGGAAACAGAAGCCTAAGGAAGAACAAGAGGACTACACAGGAGCATAAAAAGGAACCGAAGCAGAGCTTTGGGTGATCCATCACGCCTCCGTCTCCTAAATCAGAGAGCAAGCCAGGCGAACAAACAGGAAGAAGAGCCAGAGAACAAGAAAGAAAAGACTAAAGGAAAAGAAAGCAAGAAAGACACTGATCGATCCACTACCACGCACCTTCAGTCTCTAGAAACAGCAGGTATGTCCGTTTCTTCATTCTTTCTTGCATCTTCAGTTCAAAGTTAATTATACAAGAACATTGAGTGAAGGTAATTTAATTACCTTCACCCAGTGTTCATACACGCGTGAAGTGAATTCACGCGTGCTTTTAGCTTTTTTGGACCAGCCGGGTCACTGGCTTGGACCAGTGACTGGGTCGGGCTGGTTGGGCCTAGCCCAGTCCAACTCATGTGGGTTGAGCTGGGCCCAGCCCGAAAATAGAATAAAAAATAAAAACTAAAAAAATAAAAACTAAAAAAATTAAAATATTAAAAGTAAAAAATAAAAAATATATATGCATAAAAAAAATAATATAAATTTATCGGTTTATTCACTAACGCTAGAGTCAGGAATAACGCTAGAGTAAGGAATAAAAATATCAATTTAAATTTATATTATTTTTATTCATTGTACTTTATTTTATTTAGCTAAAAAACTAAAAATATATGTATGTGTAAACGTAAAACTTATTTTTATTTATTTATTTACTGATGTCAGAGTCAGGAATAAAAAAAATACTGATTTAGATAAAAAATAGAAAAATAAAAATAGAAAAAATAGAAAAAAATATAAAAATGTGTTTGCATGAATAAAAATAATGTAAATTTAGTGGTTTATTCACTGATGCCAGAGTTAGAAATAAAAATATCAGTTCAAATTTATATTATTATTTTTATTTGTTGTATTTTATTTTATTTAGCTAGAAAAAATAAAAAATATGTGCATGTGTAAAAGTAAACTTATTATTTATTTATTTATTCATTGACGCCAGAGTCAGGAATAAAAAAATACTGATTTAGATTTATTTTGTTTCTATAGCTGCGTAATATTTACCGACGCTAGAGTTGGAAATATTCGTAATTAAATATTAACTAGCGCCAGAGTCAGAAATATTATACACAAACAATCATAGTATAAACTAAAAAAAAAATATTAGCAATTAATGACAAAGATCAACAATGCAGCCTGTCTTAGATAGGATGTTTAAGGAGTGATAATATCTTTTTTTTTACGTAATCAATTTCGGACCATAAAATCTCTGTTGACTAGTTAGGGTTCCTAGTAACTATAATAATATTAGGTGACAACTAATTAAACAAAAAATATCCCTATTAAAAAACAGGATAGCCTGAAATGATGACTTACTCCATGACTTTTAAGGAATAAGATAACATTAGCCGGGACAAAGGATTCGGTCCATCTTAGTTGCACTTTTTAGATTCTAAGCAACCAATAAAATCCATTATTGATTTAAGATATTGGTAAATAGAATATTCACTTTATTCAATGCTAGACATAATGAGTATAAAGACCTTGACAAGTTTCATAGTTTTATACACCGACGTAGACCTAGCATGCTTTTTTTACTAAAAAATAAAAAATAAATATATAAAAAATCATCAGAATTGTGAGTTTGATTGTGTAAAATTACTATATTATATGATTGTTTATATATATTTGCTATGATATTTTTGACAATGGTGTATTTGATTCGTAATATTTTCTATTGAATAAATCCAGGTTAATTTGGTTCTAAAAATATAACCAGTGTAGAAAAATATCCAATTTATTAGATTGATGAAGAAAATCACTGAATTGAAATATAGCAAAAGGTAAAAAGAGAGATGTACCAGCTGCTTTGAAAGCACCTCCACAACGATGTTTTGCTTGTCAAGCTGGGACTTCAATAGGCAAAAGTTACCTTGAAGTTGTTTCATGAGTTCGTTTTGAGTTTGCACAACCTCTTTCAGCCGAACTTCTTCATTTTTTAAGTGCTTGTTCTCTCTATCTAATCTATTATTTTCTTCGGTAAGCGCACACAAGTCTTCCTCATTCTTGATTTTCTTAAACTGCATAATTAATTACAGCACAGAGAATCAAAGAGAAGTTCCCATAATAAAAATATATAACAACAATACGAACCTCCTCCTACCAAATAACAACAGGCAAGTGATCACGAACCTCCTACCAAATAACAACAGGCAAGTGATCATGGAGAGGAGCATGTTGCTTACCTTGCACCGTAGCCGATAGGCCCTGTCTGCCGCTTTCTTCCTCTCTTGATCCCTATTTACATCATCAGGAGCTTTTCTTTTCAGCTTCGAATCGGGTATGGTAGGAGAATCAAGACATCCTGATAGAAATGACATGTACTGCTCTATTGGTGGCTGAATCATCGACGGTGCTGTGTTTATTTCATAGCTACCGCCAATTTCATTAGCGGTTGACGTCTGCAGATGAGATTTAAAAGGGCAAAACCTTCAAAAGACATACTTGGGTTTGCTCACTGAAACATGTCAGAAGGCTTTCATTCAACCAAAACATCTCTGATAAGCACATCAATCTATCTAATTTTCTATACACATGCAAGCAGAAGAATATTTATAGACACATAAATTAATTTTGTTGGCTAAGGAAAATATGAAAAATCTAAACAAATTAAAAGATATAGCATGTAATAAATGAAAAATGAGCCGCATACTAGACAGTGAAAAAACGACAAACGATATTTACAGGCACTTTTTTTTCCTGGATAAAAATTAGAAGATTACAAGTAAAACTTACAGTTGCTAGTTCCGATGGCCACATTGAATCAATCAAGGGGAAGATTGGTACATAAGCTGGCTTTATACCTGCATAAAATTGAAAGCAGAGAACTGGTGGAGGCAATCGGAAACAGCACAACACAATCAAAGAAGGAGAAAAGAAATAAACTTTAAAGTGCTTCCGGACCTAATGTTCAAAAAATCGAGCTATAATTAAAAGAGAGGCATATATATAGCATACTGATACCAGCAGAGGCAGATGCAATATGAAATTGCATTTGATACGGTGTTTGATGGGTTTTATATTAAAAATTATTTTTTAAAAAAATAAAATAAAATACTATTTTAATATATTTTCAAATAAAAAATAATTAAAAAGAAAAAGAAAAGACAGCAGCACAATCCCGATCAGACGAGACATTCCAGCGACGTCGAGCGGGTGCCGCGCGAGAACGTGCGATATCGAAAAGATCGGACGAACTACTTGTAAGGTCGCGGGAGGCCGAAACAATTTCATGGCCATGGACCCACCAATCCATATGATGTAATATTATGGTCGGCTTAGACTTTGGACTAGATAAAAGGATTGGGTGTAGCATACGTGTCCAACCATTTCGGGCTTGATTTAACAAAAAAGCAATATCTCGATGAATGCGTACGATAATCAGACTATCTTTATGCGGTAATTGTCGACTGGATAAGCTCGAGCTTATTCAATTCCAATATGTGGAAATTAATGGTACAAGTACGAACCATGGGCAGGGCAGAATTTGGAGGTGAAGGTAGAACTTGCAGCGCCATGGTTCAAGTCCAATCGTCCACGCATGTAAGGACTCATTTTCTCTTTTATTGTGCTTCGATCAAACTTATTAGTTAATTTGATTAAATTGACACTCCTTTTAAGTTTATAACTAGCTATATATTTATTCTAAACTCATCCATTTCTATGATTGAATGACGAGGGATTTTTTAATTTTTAATAATTTTCCAAGTTATTTTTCGATTAGTTATGTAGATTATATTATATTAAAATAATTTTTACATAATTTAATTTTAAATTTGAAGTAAACTAAAGATTAGATCAGGAAATCTTTTGTTGTTTATCTTTTTTTTTTTCCCCTTTATATTACTGGAAAGAATGTATTCGAGCTGGAAACAAGATATTGATCCCGAATTCACCTTCATGAGCACCCTTCAATCTGTTCTTCATCCCAGTCCCAAAGTCTTATCTTGATTTATATATCCCCTCTTTAATGGACCTTGTAAGTAAGGGTGCTTTAAAACCGAGGGAGATTTTTACAATCAACAATCAACAATATTTTATTACTTTCCTAAATGAATAAATCTTAGAATGGAACTTTTCCGTGAAGCTTACCTGCAATTGAAATCCCAAAAGCACATCAGAAAATCGGCTCTACCATTATTCCTCCCCATTAATTTCCACACACTAATTCAAGAAATATAATGACAATTGTATGCTACTCAAGTGCAGTGCAAAATTATTGAGGTTGCAGCATATCTACTTTAAACACAAATTCGACATGGTCGATATAGAAAATTTTACACACAACTTTAAACACACAGAATTGAGTTCGAAATAGTCGGCATACAAAACGCTACACACAAGCTCGACATATACAGTCAAGATAGAAAATAACCATCTAGGTGGTGGCCAAGTGGTAAATATTTGGGACTAAGGGGTTTGTTCCCTCTGTAGTCTACACACAAGTTCGACATATATAGTCAAGATAGAAAATGCTACAAACATAAGCAAACCAAACCAAACCAACCACTCCCTCGTCCTTCGATACCTAAACATGACTGGATGGATCGCCTGCAAGACTGCAGTTATTAAAAGAAAATCTTGTATTAGTGCCATTTTCCTTGAAGCAAAATAGATTATTTTTTCTCTTGAGACATGCACTGTAAACTTTATAAAGACCAAATCTAAACTAAATCCATGTTCACCTGAAGTGGAACACTCTTCTCTATTCCTTTAGCTGATCAGCAATTCCTGCCCGCAGTTGTGCGCGGCTTGACACCAATTGCTCGAGTCTTTCTCGAAACTGAATCCAGTTTTCATTACCATTATTTATCTGCAAAATAAATAAGTACAGTGTAAATCTGGGTTAACAATTAGTCTTCTTAAATGTCTTTGAGCACGTTTTCAAACGGACTCAAATAATAAGCCCTTTTATCTTTATGAATAAATCGATTTCAATACTTGAAAACATATAGAGGCTTAATTCCATGTTTCATCAAAACAAGCTGCGCTGTGTAATTTGGAGCAAACCACATAACCAAACATGACAGGGAAAAAACCCAGAAACCAATCATGACAGAAAACAGCTCGAGAAGATATCTAAATCCTGTGGTCGAATATATGGCTTGCAATAATTACAAAGTCTCAATCCAAAGAAAACCGTTTACCAAAACACGAATCTATACATCTTGGATGCATTCTCAGTTCCCCATTCATTGCCGGTAAAATAAAATGCCGATTCATCATTCAAGTGCTTCATGCCAAAGGAGCAGAGGCCATATATAAATTAGCCCAGTAAACTTATACTTTACAAAAGATTCACGAATACATTTAAATTAAATCCATGCATTAACCACATAATTATTAGTCTACTTGGACATGCAGCATACCAGAGCATGTAAATAAAAGATAGAAAAAGCCCAAAACAAGCTAAATGCAAATATTGAAATCCAAAAAAATGAAAAAGTATACTGCACAAGAGATATTGTGGTACAAAAAAACAGTCATGACAATGAATACCATGAGTCATGTTTTGCATGATCCATATCCAAACTTGAAGCCCAAAATTTCTATCCAAATCCTACTCGAATCCAACCGAGTAAAGATTTTTGCTATCCAGACCCAACTTGATCTCAAAACCCAAACCCATCTAAACACTATTTTTCGAAGATTTTTGCTATCCAGACCCAACTTGATTGGGGTTTTGAATATTCATAACCCAAACCCATCTAAACACTATTTTTCGGCATAGACCTTTCTTGAGTTCTAGCTTTTTTGTACTGTGTACAAGATTTTATGTTTGACAACAGCAACAAATTATCCATGATATATTATAAGAGAGATGCTTTTTTTATTGCACCTCCCCCAACACATTATTATCCATAGACTAGTTCTTCTAAGTGCATTTGCATTAAATACTAATGATATGATCTTTTAAGCATCTAGAATCATAAACCTGTACTCTAGTAATGATTCATCAATACATCTAGATTAAGTTCATGTATTATCCATATAATTATTTTGCATTTAATCTAGTGTTTGTATTAATATGGTACACGTTGTTTAATCTAATTAATATTTATGTTAAAAAGGTAAATGTAATAGAACTTATTATTGTAAGGATTGTGTATTTACTAAGAGTATTATAAATATGAGTCTGTGTATAAAAGTAAATAAGTTAATCAGAGTACAGTTTCAAAATACGTATCCTTTTAATCTCATACTTCACCACCATGTTATTTTCGAACAAAGACAAGATCATTTCTAGCAAGCCATGTTGACCGGAATAAGATAAGAAAAATAAGCTGATGCTATGAACAAAATCCTAGCAGTTTCTCGTAAATAAATTATCAAGTTGATGACAATTAATTAAGAGATGCATATTAATGGATAGATGAAACGAAAGCGCGCGAAGGAAGAGAGAAGAAGCCACTAATTACCAGTATCATGGAAAGCTCTGCAATCTCAGCAGTCTCTTGATTGCATTTGTCCTTCAAGAACTCCACAGTTTGCCTTCTACGATTGAGATCCTTTATCAGCCGAGCACATTTGTCCATCATCAATTCATTCTCAGCCTCCATGGAGGTGTTTTCATTCTTCATACGCTTACATCCAAACTCGTCAGATTTAACTTTGTTGTCTATCTTCATTTTCTGCACCATAAATAGTGAAATATGGTGAAATAAACATCAATACTGAGAAGTACGTACGTACAATTGGTTAATATCAACACCTCCTGTTTTCCACAATCGCTGGTGCCAAATTTTCTTTTCCTCGGTTTTTTGGAAGAAACATTCAAGATGCTCGAGGGTACACCATCGATAGATGTCCTCGGGGGGGACGTTTTTGCTCCATCTCCATCTGTATTCCAGTTTAGAAGCTCAAACCTTGACAGAGATATCTAGAACTTTCTTAAAGAAACATTAATTGTGCCGATTAACATAAAATTAGTCAGCCTATATATTTTGATGAGCTTGTATACATACATACACACATACAGGTTCTGATGTTAATAGTGATGAAAGGCCATACCAGCTAACTGATTCGATTGGTGCAGGCCGGGAATTTGATCAGTGAACAATATTCCACGGTTCTCGGCATCACTACGATCTCCAAACTCGTTGGTGTAGTTTCCTGAAATTAAAACCAATCAAACCCTCAAGGAGAATATTCAAACAAGTTAAATTTGCTTCATAAGCAAAAACAACAGCACAGCAACAAAACTAAGACTCGATCCCAAACTAGTTAGGGTTTGCGGCATTTAATTCTCTCATAAACCAAGTCCCTTTCAACATTAAGAAGTTTTAAATCCTTGGATATGTATCATTCGCCCACGTTATCAGATGCTTAAATAATTAAAAACGCATGCAGGTCAAGAAGGAAAAAAACCTAGAGCTACCTTTTTTAAAGGCTAAATTTGTGGATGATCAAACTTTTGAAGCAGGTTATCATATGCCTAACCGGAGGCAACTAGCTTGTTTTCCCCTATATACATGGTTGCTTTAATGTGTAGTGAATTACAACAAAAACTAGTTAGAACTTTTGGTTAGCTTGTGATACTCCTTTTCACATTTGCAAATCAAAACCAACAAGTTTAGCCTTCGATGAGAAGGTTTTTATTTTTCATGGATAAGTGATAAGCTAATATCATGACAGTGTTGTAGACAATCAAAAACCCTAAATTGACCTGAGAAGGCTTTGTCAGTTGATGTAAAGGTTAAGTAAATCAATTGGTTATACTGTGCCACCTCTATGGTAGATTTGCATAGCTAGCTGTTCATTTTAGGTTTGAAACAACGTAAACCCTAAATAAAACCCTAGATTTTAAGAATTAATAATATTATACTGAGTGCTAGAAAATAAGAATTGACCTAGCTAGAGCTAGACTTTTCCCATCAATCTAACAAAAGAGCTATTAATGAAGAGATCGCATGTGACAAACTTCCTTCTGCGAGCAGAGAGAGAGAGAGAGAGATCGTGTTAATTATGAGAAATATGCATAAAAATGCAAATAATTTGGCTTTAAAATGGAAGTTGCATGAGTTTATTAGAGACCATGTCACACCCAAGTAGAAATAAGAGGAAATGCATGACTATCTTTGATGTGGTGATTTTGTTCAAACCAAGGAGTCTTTTCCTGTTTAATCGGGACATTGCAACCGATCCTGTAGTGCAATATATATATTCATGTACTGCATGAAATTTTAAGGAAACGATAATTTTGTTTTGGGATCTGGAGCTGTCCTGTCCGGTAGGCTGTGGGAAAAAGAGAATCGTTGGTTTTTTTAAGAGTTTTCATTTTTATATATATATTTGATTAACGGCTGCAAATTTCAGTATTTATCAATGAATTTTGTATGAAGTAGATTTTGTAAAATCATATTAAATCTTAATATGCCTTATTACTTGTTTTGCATAGATTTAGCACACAGCATAAACAAAGAAATAGTGGCAGCAAGTGTCGATCTAATATGTTATATATTGAGAAGATTATAAAAGAAGAAGAAAAACCCTTACCCACGGCAACAGAATCATCAGATAGCTCTAAGTTAGACATCAGATGTTCTTCTTTGATACGATCTGCCAAAAATTGAGAGAGGGAAAAAAGAAGTAAGTATCAACCTTAAAAAGTGTAAAATGATGCAATATTTTGAGAATTAAGAGTAATTAAAATCAGTTGATGAGGTTGATGATCAAGCAGCTGTTGCTTTTCTTTTCATACACACTACCAGATCTGATGGTTGTGGGCTGGTTGTTCCTAGAAATCGACGGCGCGCGGGGAGATGATGACCGCCGTTGTGCTGGAAATCTGGGAGCGAAGTCTCTAAGAGTAGTCAAAGAAGCAGAAATTATGATATTATCATAGAAGCACTGGTGGGATCGTAAAAAAGAAAGAAGAAAAAAGATGCGTAGCATGCGTGGGACCCAATCGCATGAAATGAGGAGAAAACCACATATACGTTCGGTAATTGCACGTCGTCGCACTGCGAGCTCGCCGTGAAGAAATAAATAAAAAAACAATTATGCGTACTTTAATTAATTACATAATTATTAAACTTCAATTTATTTGAGCGTGTTAAAAGATACGCTAGTGTAACTATTCGGTTAAATCCGATTAACTTAGAAGGTTAATTTATAATTTAGGTAACTCTAGAGATATCTAGTGTTATTTTTTTAAAAAAATATAGAATTTAAAATTTATTATACCAGTTTTCTTTGAATCCGACATGCTTTAAGTATGACCACGAATGAATATTACTGGGAATAATCTAGAAGCTAGACAGACATTCAGTCGCGATTAGATGATTGCATTGCCCCCTTTGGATCGGCAATCCAACTGGACCCAGAAAAAGAGTAGATGACTGGGCTCTACAAGAGGTTCAAGAACAGGCCCATTTCAAGTCTCGTTTATGATTCTGGTAGATATTGGTTTTTTAATGTTTTTTATATAAAAATAAATTAAAATAATATTTTTAAAATTTTAATATTAATCTATTAAAACAATAAAAAATATTAATTTAAGTTTTTTAAAATCACTCTTGGATCTAAAATCAAAGTAAGCTAACAGAGGGAATTTTGCAACGGGAGTCCAATTAGAGTTGAGAAAATTAACATAAGAGAGAAAGCTACATCGATCTAACTCCCAAGATCAGTCAGATCAAAGAATATTGTCCTGGGAATGACATGGTTATTAGCACTTATAGAGGATAAGGCTACCTCTATAATTTGTCAGATTAGAGTTGTACCTCTCAAATGGAGTATCAAACTTCCTTTCCCTGTGCATATCACCAGACAGGAAAGGGCTGCTTTTCGCAATTTGGGCATCTGGTGCTGTCCGTTTTCTAAAACCACACGGTACTGGACCAGGTTTTGCTTCTTTCTTTGCATCTCGTCGTCCCGGCAGAGGTTTCTCTCACCCCCAGCAGCTCCATCTCCGAGGACGATCTAGAGCTCACACATCTTCTTCTAGCTGTGGCAAAGAGGATCTTGCAGTACTGGAGAAATACATCCTTGCCTTCCTGCACCGTGGAGAAGCAAGAGTAGCAGAGAGAGTTAGAGGTCAAGAGGAAGATCTGTAAGTTAACTATGGACAGGAAATATACTACTTGCAGATAAATATACATGTTCGAAGGCTTGCTGGATATGTGAACTACCATCTGCAGGTCTCTTGGTTAATCACCGGTAGACTGTCTGTGCAGACCCAACATAAATAAATAGTACAGTGGGGAAGTGATCGATAATGCTTTCCTTCGAAGAGAGCGCGCTAGAAATATAGAAAGACGAGATGCTCTATTTAGGTATCTCATAGGACAGCTTAAACATTAAGAATTGGATTTTCATTTAAAGTCCAATGACAAGAGATATATGTGAGGGAATCCAAGGATACAGTAGTGCTTGTACAGTAGAGGCTTTGCGGTACGGGGGGGGGCGGCAAGGTTATTGTTTAGAAGATGTAAGAAACTTAAAAACACACGTATTATTTATATCTTAATATCTTGAAAGACTTTTTAAGGGTTATTTTTTATAAGGTCACACGAATCATTAATAATCAATTTATTTTCTCTTTTATAAGAGCATCAAGAACATGCATGCTTCTTCTTTGTTTTTGCAGAATCAATGGTGGTAATCAGGATTTTGAATTGAATGAATACATGTGAGTGAGGACGTGAAAAGGCATTGCAAATCCGTTAAGAAAATGTGACTTCTATATTAAGATATTAAATTTGAAACTCTAATTTTAGTGGGCGTTTGATAATAATTAAAAAGCATCAAACGGACATGTGAAAGTTTTTCATCATCGTTATGAGTGTTCGGGACCTACAACTACAAATTAATTAATGGCTTCAATCTCGGCAAATCAAGACCGAAGGAACTCAATTCCAAAGCAATAGCTAATCGAGATCAATTTCAAATGATTGTAGTCATATTCCTCTTTGTTAGGTAGCTGCTTTCCAATTTCTATTTGGTAAATAAATCTAAAAGCGTGCCAATAATTGATTGAAACACAGTATATAGTCACTAGCTTTTTAACACCCAAAAAAAATAAATAGTTTTTTTTTTTTTGTACAAGTGCTTATTTTAATTTATAGTAAATATTATTTTTTAAAATATTTTTATACAGGAACTAATGTATTTTTCCAATCATATACACAAGAGTTAATGTATTTTCTTTTGCTGAATGGACTAAAATGTTTGACATTAACCTAGTTTATATATACTTATACTCTTAACCTGTTAAGTTAGGGAATGCATGCAGACCACGGAAGCATACTAATTACAAATACCACGTGGACAGTGAAAGCATGGGGCAGGCAAGATATCTCAAACAATATATGAACCGATAAATTATGAAAAAATTTAATATTTATTTAGGATTAAAAAAGAAAGTTGATTTTTTATATTGGAAATAAAAAATAAACACCTATGTAAATATTTTATCTTGATTTTTCATTTTCATTTTCATTTTATTCGCTTTCTCTAATTTACCTTTGGTAGTAATTTCAATTGTTAAATATACATGATTTTTATTTTATAAATATACATCGTACAAATATAATTCATTTATTTAAAATTTAAGAAGAATAAATTTTTTTAATTTTTTTGTGGCAAATAAAATAAATATTCATAAAAAATATAATTAATAATTTTAATTCTTAGCAAAAAATGTGTTTATGTTGTAAAAATGCAATATTGTTATTTATGATTTTTTTTTAATTTTGATATAAAAGCAAATTTTTTTATTAACAACTCCGTTATTTGAACAAAAACATAAAGTAATTAAAATAAATATGTCAAAACTGAAATTATTTAAATTAAGTAAGAAAAAAAAGTGTTTCTTTAGCCAAAACTTAATTTTTTGTTTTTTTAATTCTAGTGGAAACATTTTTCTTCTTCATCAAAAGCATGAATTTTTAAATAAAAAATTATCATGATTTCTAAATCAATTATAAGCAAAAAAAAAATGTTTCATTTATTTCCATGCAATTATAAAATAAGAATAATTAATTGGAGAAAATAATTAAAAATCAGCACGATTGGATTTAAAGGATGACCCTTACGTGTTTAGTATGATAATCAGGCCCGCGTACATAATATCCATCTCTGTTAAGTTTATTTCTCAAAAAATATATTCATAAATATCAAAATTAGAGTTATTGGTAACTTGAATTTAGCTATCCAAGAGTGTTTTCTATTCTCCATTTTCTCTAAGACCTTTTCTTTTCTCTCTTAATCTTTAGGTAATGAAATGTGATTAAAATAAGATTTAGGACTAAACTATAATAACTAAAAGAACAAAGATCAATTATGAGGAAATTGAAAATTGAGGGGCAATGAAGGTTTGGTCTGCCTTTTATGGAAAAGGGCTCCTTTTCTTTCTTCAAGCTAATTTTGGTGTCTCATCTTTCAAATAGTTTTTTTAACAATAAGCTAAAACTATGTTTCATAAAACTGATCGTCACTTAAAGGCTGGAATATTTTAAATCACATTAGCAAGTGAGAAAAAAATCGAAACAGATGTTAGCACATAAAACAATGGTAACATAATGGAAACAAATGTTTTTTGTTTTTTTTTCAAAAAAAGAATGTATTCCTTAAGCAATTCTTTTAGTTTTTTTTTAAATGATTTGATTTAAGTTATATTCTTAATAATAATTTTAATTCAAGTGACTTTACAATAGTCTCAGAGCTAGCTACCTCCAGGAAATTAAAGAGTAAAAGATCAAAGTATTGCGTGTAGTCTATAGAATAACAGAATGAATTCATCGAAGAAAGTGACTATAAACTTGCTGCTCGAAATTGCCCGAAGAATCGGATGGTATGTTAATTGCATCCTCTCTTTTTTTCCCTAAAACTACTTTTATATTGGATGGGATTGCACACTGCAATACCTTGAAGAACGCAATGACAAATTCTGTCGAGGTATTGAAGGGAAGGGAAGGGAAGGCAATGGGATTGCAAACCCTTTAATTTGACAAATGAAAGGCTGAACATTCCTCGTATGCTTGGTTTGGTTCTGATCCAAGATTGGGTTCCGCGCTGTGTTTTGTTTTTTATCCTTTTCTTTCTATCTGTTTGCCATTTACTAGGTTCCCTCCAGTCTTTTAATAAAAGCAGACCATCGAGTCTCGTAAAAAATTAATTTAATGTACCCCACCATCCTTCCATATTCCAGGTGTGTTTTACGTGCATTTTTATTCTTGATACTAATATTTTTTTATTATAAATATATTAAAATAATATTTTTTAAAACAATTTTGAAATATAAAATATAAATATGGCTTAAAAGTAAAAATTAAATTAAATTTAAATAGAGAAAATTTAGCTGCTAAGTACATTATTGATCTATCCCATAAATGGTTTTAGTGAAACTGGTATTAGTTAAAGGTGATGAATAAAAATATTACTGCAAATCTTCGACACAAACACACTCTCACATACGTGTTCTTTGTCATGCATCTTTGTTGAATCAAGCATTCAGTTTAGTTTGATTCACCTAGATAATCTGCAACAAGTAGCAGATTGAATAAAAAAGAGAATACTTTTGTAATAACAGAAAACCAATTTTTTCATTTTCAGCTTTTTTTAATGAAAAAATATAAAGATTATTTTAAAAAAAATTAGAGCAGTTTTCCAATTTGAATAACTGAAAAATGTGTTCATATTATATTATAATATTTTTTATTTGGAGAAAAATAATAATGGAAATCATGTGTAAATTAAACTTGTTTTCCATGATATTCTTTACATTTGGACATATAAATATTTGTTTTCTTATCTTAAAGGTATTGGTGTAAACAATTAAAAAAAGTATAACATTATTTTAGAGAATTGGTGTAATGTCTATATTTTCTACACAGAAAAAATTCTTATGCTCATCTGGATCTTCAGATCTGTAAACGTTTGACCCTAACATTTTATTGGGTGCAACATGTGAGGTTTTGGAAAACCAAGTTGACTATTCAAAGAGAAGTCAACTAATTGTAGGAATTGACAGCCTCACACCATAATTTATTGATTGTAAAAGCTAAAAATATGAGACAATCAGCTCATCCGAACATGACACAACAACAATTAACATTTCTATAACTGGAATCGAAATAGATTAATATAAGTTAACAACAAAGCATATGCAAATCAATAATGATAATGGTTCCATTGACTAGCTAGCTCTTCAGGCAATCCTTTTCTTTTCTTTTGTTTAGTCTCTGAAATTGCTAATCAAAGGGATCGATGGAATCTAGGAGAGCCTTTGACGACTAACATGTCTTAGAATACAGGGTTACCAACAATGCGTTCTTCCCCATGAGGGCTAAAATTTTGATTTTCTCTTTGAAATGTTCTAATCAGTGTCAGTAAGTGGAGATAGCTTTGAAATGCTATTTCAATTGAAGTCTAAGTGATCAGATGCATTCATATAGTGCAGGGAAATTACACGAGCAACCATAGAAGTAGAGAATCGCTGCCTCATAAAAGTGAATTGGTTTCCACAAGCCAACCTTTCCCTATATGCAGGTGGCTGCATGTGCTATTACATGCTTGATTAAGTTGTGTTATGTGTAGTGTAAAACAGGATAGGCTACTATAAAAAGCAAGTAATATCTTGGTGAAAGAGAATTATAAGGCTAAATAAAACTTCTCAATTAGTGTAATAAAGGCCCGGTTTTGATAATAAACTACTACTTGCACTTGGCCCTTGTTAATCTTTAGAGGAAGTACACTTCTTATCATTTCCTCAACAATGAACCGAATAGAAGAACGTGAAAACAACAAATATTGGTTAGCATACTCTTTCCAAATTAATTTGTTGGTTGGATTCCCAACCAAATTTCTACTTCCTTTTATATTGAGTAGGAAGACATAGACTAACTGTTTCAAATAATTCTCATGAGATGACATTTATTTGATGGATTCTTGTACGAGGGATGAAATTTTAGTTTCTCACAAAACCCACTAGATTGGACTTTAAGTGTTTACAAGATCCAATAACATAATAATATCAGATAAAAGCCTCATTACCAATCCATGAGAACAATACTCTCTAACAAGAATATTACTCTTGAATCTATACGATAATACCCCGAATAAGGCTCATACCCCCTAAATCCATAAAAACTTAACCCCAAACATGGCTTACATACTCGAATCTAGCTATTAGACCTAAATACACCTGAATCCAACTTTTTCTCTCAAATGTGCTCAAAACCACTCGCTACCCCAAATGCTCTACTCCTTTGTCAAACCCGGTCTGCTCTCCATCAACCACGAAGACAAAAGATACATGATTTAAATGAAAGCACACCTCTTGATAATGTGTGTTTTAAGCTTGGTCCTGTTATTGTCATCAACAATCTATAACTCACAAAACCCATAATTAAAACAACTTTTATAGTTATTTGTTTTCACTTAAAATCTGTCTCTAAGATGTACAAAATTGTAGCTGCCAAACACATTAATCATCTTAATTTTACACGGATACATCCATGTTGGTTCAAGGTTATATAAATAACGTTCAAGTAAAAAATCTTCTCTTAGAGATTGAAGACTTATTTTCCTCCTTTTTAAGTTTTATTTTGGAAACAAACATAACACAACCTCTTAATTTTTTTTCCCTCTGGTGTCAGTACTATTTTAAGCATCATATGATCCATTAGAACCCTGAAAGGACTGGTTATTCAAGTGTTTTAGTTACTCAAATCCAATCTTTTACGCCTTTCATTCCATCACAACCTCATAAGGCAACTGTACAAAGACCATGATCTTTGTAAAGTTTTATATGAACCTCATCAATTGATAGTGATCATACCATCAATAATGTAAATGAATTTGATTGTTGTATTGCTTTCACTACATCCTATCATTACATGGGTTAAAACCTTTGCTATTTCTTATGACATTTTACTTTTTCTGATCTATTTTTTTATCAGAAACCCCCTATTTTTTTTTTATGATTGTTTATAAAATGGAAGTAGTTTTGTATAACATTAAAGACTTTTCAATTCATCAGTGATTTTGTCTGTAAAGAACAATAATTAAGAGTATAATTAAAAAGTGAATAGTTCTAGAGCTCTCTGAAAAATACTGATGAAATTTTTCATTGATGATTTCTTTTATAATTAACATGATGAACAATGTTTTCAGTTTACCAATGAATTTACTAACAAAAATTTTTTTATTGGTAATTCTATTGATAAAAATAGCACATCATCAATTTTTTTTGCTTTGTTTTAATTATTTTTTCCACTATAATTTTCTCGGTAAATACCGAGAGGATATTTTCCATTAGTAAAATCTATTGGTAATTTACCAACAAAAATATTCCCTTGATATTTCCATTCGTATTTATCGATTTTCTGGAAGTGTTTGATTATGTAAAATTACTATATTATATGATTGTTTATATGTATTTGCTATGATATTTTTTACAACTGTGTATTTGATTTCTAATACTTTCTATTGAGTGAATCTAAGTTAATTTGGTTCTAAAAATATAACCAGTGTAGAAAAATATCTAATTTATTAGATTGATGAAGAAAATCACTGAATTAAAATAACAAAAAGTAAAGAGAGAGACGTACTAGCTGTTTTGAAAGCACCTCCATAATGATGTTTTGCTTGTCAATCTAGGACTTCAATTTGAAAAAGTTACCTTGAAATTGTTTTATGTTTCATTTTGAGTTTGCACAACCTCTTACAACCAAACTTCTTCAATTTTTTAAGTGCTTATTCTCTCTATTTAATCTATTATTTTCTTCGATAAATGCACACAAGTTTTTCTCATTCTTGATTTTCTTTACCTGCATAATTAATTACAGTACACAAGAATAAAAAAGAAGTTCCTATAAAAAAAATATTTAACAACACGATCAAATACCAACAGGCAAGTGATCATGGAGAGGAGCATGTTGCTTACCTTGCACTATTATCGATAGGCCCTATCTACCTTTTTCTTCCTCTCTCGATCCCTATTTATATCATCAGGAGCTTTTCTATTCAGTTAGAATTGGGTATGGTAGGAGAATCTAAACATCCTGATAGAAATGACTGTAGATACAATTTTGAGCACTTGGAATTAAACAAGCATATATGTACAAATATATGATTTTATTAAATAGATGACCGTGTACAATCTCTATCTAATGTATTCTTTCAAAAAAATATGACAATCCTCTGATTTTTTTTTTTTGAATTTGATGTATGGTGATTTGATTTATTTGAGAAATCAAGTCAAGATTCTTTGAATTTGATGTATGATGATTTGATTTATTTGAGAAATCAAGCCAAGATTTGTGCTTTACAAAAATATGAATTTGGGCGAGTATTGTGAAGTGAGATGTTGTGATTTACTACTTTGAAGAGTACCTTGATTCATTTTCAAAGTGTTGTTAAAGAACTCTTATGATGCGTTTTGACTTGATCCAATAGAGTTTCGTTCTTTGTAGACTTCAAGCGTAGATGGAGGAGGCTTGAAAACTCCTTGATCTCCTTGCTTGAAGAGCTTGTATTGAAGAAAATTTGTATATCCCGAAATCTTATTCTCTTTAGGTTGAGGCCCTCTATTTATAGAAATCTATAGGGGCTCTCAGGTCATTTTTCAATGTCACATGATATAATTTTATTGATTGATATTTATTAATGAGATCTTACATTTATAACAAGATATCTTGAATATCTCATCCCAAGTGTCAATATTTATTTCAATTTTTTTTATTTTTTTTAAAAAAATAAAATAATTTTTTATTTTTTTTTAAAGAATAAAATAACACATGATGAAATTTGATTGGTAGAAAATTTATGTTTCTATAGATGTCCCCTCGAAATAAGTTCACTTATTTTTGAAACAAGTGGGTATGTCGTCAAAAATATGGTTGAAAGAGTTTTATATTTTCAATCAAAATTTAATTTAATCATATTAAATTTTCACAATAGATAGGTAGTCAAAATTGGAAATTTATAGACCAATGATATTAAATTTTCACAATAGATAAATCTTATTGTGAAATAAAATACAGTAGTCAAAATTGGAAATTTATAGACCAATCTTGATTGAAATTTATCAAATCAAATGATAAAATATCCAAGTTAAATACCTCATTTGAAACAGTTATATATTTAGAAACCAAACAAAATTTATCTTTATATCCGAATAGCAGCCAGTGCTTTGATCGGCCCGCAGGAATTTTTTTTCCTTACTGGAAGTGGTCACTATAACATCGCTATAACATTTTGTGTTAGAGATCTTATTGTTTTAGATCCAGCGACGCAATCCGCTCGTGATTCCAGTTAGCAGTTAATGAGTTATAAAATATTAAAGATTTCAGTTTCTCTTCTCTTCCTTCTCTTGATATGTGTGCACTCATATTGTTTGATGAATTATTTTTTTCATTCCGTTGATGTTCTTTCAAGTTAAGAAAGATTGTTTGTCTTTTCAACTTTCAGAGGAGAACACGGCACCCATGCAATCAACCGACCTTGTTTTCGCAAACAACCTTTTTTTTAACTCTTTTGTTGAACCGTAGATTTCTTAGAGCTTCCTCAAAAGGTATGACTATAAAAGCACATCACCTTGCCCTTCTTTCTATTGTAAATAGCATTGGTTCTTCTTGTTTCTTTATCTTCAGTACACCACTCTCTACCACTCAACACGTCACTGGTAGCTGGCTACTCTACAGCAGGTAAGTGCGTCTTTATTCATTATTTGTTCTTACAACTACAAGTTTTTTTTTTAAGAAGAAGATTTTAAACCAGAAGGAAGATGCCTACCCTATTCGTGTTATCTCTAGTTATGCAAGTGACTATGCATTGCTAGGTGGCATCGAACCTCCTAAAGCTCATTGAAAGTCTGAGGCAGTTGGCCAAGTCTGCTCCAATGTTTGACTGTTCCATCGAGGGATCCCTTTGCTACAAATCAAACCATCACTGGCAGCTATTTCAATGTCCTTTTCATCACCAACCAAGTCTTTATCAAACTTAATAGCATCAGATTTATGGCTATCAATGTCAACTGAAGCAGAGCCGTGACGTACCCTTAATGCCAATTGCATCAGATCCATCGATTGGTCCTATTCGGCACAAACCTCCAAGGATCCAGCAATGCTAATTATCATTTGTTTTTTTGTCCTTGCAGGTTTTGCTTCAGCAAACCCTGCCCTCTGATGATCATAGTAATATTTTGCATGGGCTCACTTCTTTCACCTTCCCATGGATTTAACACGAAGCTGTGGCAGCGGAATCAACAAATCCTGCAGTTTTAAAAGCAACAACAATTCGCAGTTATAGCTTCCACTCGTATTAAAGCACTAGCAACTAGTAAAGGAAGTTTTATTCAGACCACATTTCATCATCATCATCTATAGCCACCAAGTTTCCAAATGCATTTTTTGCATTTCCCCAAAATCTAGTTCAAAACAGCTGACATCATACCATACGTAATTTTAGCAACACTCCTATTGAAGTACCGAGATGATTTATAGCATGACTTCAAGAATATTGAGAACTTTCTAATCAGTATCGCGACTTCTGTTGTTTATCACAAGACCAATATTTATTCATTAGCTTTTTGCAGTTTCTCCAAAAGAATGTGTTTGTTTCTTGAAAAATGTTTTTAAAAAAATTATTTTTAAATTTTTTATTAATAAAAAATATTTTTTATTTAAAGAAAAATTTAGTTTAGTTTTTAGAAAAGTATTTTTTTATTTTAGACGGAAAATATTTTTTAAAAGTTGTGAAATATTTAGAAATATCATATTATTTGCTGATTATATCAAATTTGATAGTCAAACTTTTTATTGTTACATATATTTTATTTTGAATATTTGTTTTTCAATTTGATCCCTTAAAATTTAATTTTTATATTAATTTTTATTTTTATTTTTATAATTATTACTTACTTTTCCCTTATCATTTTTTAATTGAAATTTTTTATTTATTAAATTTGGTATTTATTTTTTTATTTTTATCTATTTTATTTGAAATAATTTATTAAATATTAATTATTATTATTTTAATTTCTTCATTTTTTTATTTTTTTATTTTTATATTTGATCTCTATTATTTTAATTATTATTTATTTTATTTAAGATAATTTATGAAATTTTTTATTCTTATTTATTTTTTTAATTTGTAAGATTTGTTCCTTATTATTTTAATAAACTTGAAAAAAATAAAACATTACTAAGTTATTTTCCAACTTATTTTTTATAATACAACTAAATACTAGAAAGTGTTTCTATTATATTATCAAATATTAAAAAATAATTTATTTTTATTAAATTTACTTTTTTTAATTTATTTTTTTAAAAGAAATTATTTACTAGCAAATAAACCTGCTAAAAAATCACTGTATATCGTTTTTTTATGTTATAACTAGCACGGCTCCTTCTTCTCCTTTTACTGTCGGTACAACCTCCACCAATCCTAGCAGGTATGCATGGGTCTCTCTCCCTTTCCCTTTTTTTTCATATACTGTTACAGCATTCTATGATGTCCTTATTCCTAATGCTACCACCATGCTCTGCAGTAACATCAACATCAAACTATCTAGGTGGTGATTAAGTGATAAAAATTTAAGATTAAGAGGTTTGCTCCCTCTGTGATTTCAGGTTTGAATAACATCAACATCAACACCAGTGTATGGTCCCAAGCAACAGGAAACAATGTTTGTAACGGGAGCAGCGCGAGAACGTGCGATAATTAATCGTACTGCACACAAGCTAGTCCAAACAACATGTTAATCTAAAAAAAACATCAACATCAACACCAGTGTACGGTACCAAGCAACAGGAAACAATGTTTGTAACGGGAGCAGCGCGAGAACGTGCGATATCGGAAAGATCGGACGACCTACTTGCAAGGTCGCGCGAGGCCGAAACAATTTCACGGACATGGACCCACCAATTCAAATGATATAATATTATGGTCGGCTCAGACTTTGGACTAGAGAAAAGGATTGGGTGTAGCATAGTATAATATTATGGTCGGCTAAGCATACGTGTGAAACCGATTTCAGGCTTGATTTAACAAAAAAGCAATGTCTTGATGAAGGCGTACGATAATCAGACACTATCTGGATGCGGACAGGATGCCTAGAATCAGGCGCCTCGGGTTAAAAACAGGACAGTTCACTAAGGGTAAATAATTAACAAATATATAATATCAATGACAAAGAAACCTGCGCGGTAATTGTCGACTGGATAAGCTCGAGCTTATTCAATTCCAAAATGTGGAAATTAAGGGTACAAATACGAGTCATAGGCAGGACAGAATTTGGAGGTGAAGGAAGAACTTGCAGAGCCATGGTTCAGGTCCAATCGTCCACGCATGTAAGGACTCATTTTCTCTTTTATTGTGCTTCGATCAAACTTATGAGTTAATTTGATTAAATTAACACTCCTTTTGAGTTTTTAACTAGCTATATATTAATTCTAAACTCATCTATTTCTATGATTGAATGATGATGTTCTTTTTTTAAATTTTTTAAAATTTTTTAATAATCTTTTAAGTTGTTTTTGGATTCATTACGATCGGCTATATTACGATTAAAATAAATTTATATAATTTAATTTTAAATTTGAATTAAGTTAAAGATTAGATGAAGAAAATTTTTATCATTTTTTTTTTTTGTATCTTCTCAAGAATTCACCTTTATATTACTGGAAAGAATGTATTCGAGCTCGAAAATTCACCTTCGTGAGCACCCTTCAATCTGTTCTTCATCCCAATCCCAAATTCTATCTTGATTTATGCATCCCCTCTTTAATGGACCTTGTAAGTAAGGGTGCTTTAAAACCGAGGGAGATTTTTACGATCAATAATCAACAATATTTTATTACTTTCCTAAATGAATAAATATTAGAATGTAACTTTTCCGTGAAGCTTACTTGCAATTGAAATCCCAAAAGCACGTCAGAAAATTGGCTCTACCATTATTCCTCCCCATTAATTTCCACACACTAATTCAAGAAATATATATGACAATTGTATGCTGCTCAAGTGCAGTGCAAAATTATTGAGGTTGCATCATACATCAACTTTAAACACACACAAGTTCGATATATATAGAAAATGTTACACACAACTTAAAACACACAGTAAGCACACAAGTTCGATATAGTCGACATAGAAAATGTTACACGCAACTTTAAGCACACACAAGTTCGATAGAGTCGCCATATAAAATGTTACGCACAACTTTAAAGAAAATGGTACACACATGAGCAAACCAAACCAACCATGCACTCCACTTGCTAAATCTAAACTAGATCCATGTTCACCTGAACTGGATTACTCTTCATAATTCCCTTAGCTTAGCAATTCCAGCCCGCAGTTGCGCGCGGGTTTACTCCACTTGCTCTATCCTTTCTCGAAGCTCAATCACATTTTCATTTCCATTATTTATCTGCAAAATAAATAAATACGTAGTGTAAATTAATCTGGGTTAACAATTAGTCCTCCTATGCACAAATGTCTTTGGGCACGTTTTCAAACGGACTCAAATAATAAGCCCTTTTATCTTTATGAATAAATCGATTTCAATACTTGAAAACATATAGAGGCTTAATTCCATGTTTCATCAAAACAAGCTGCGCTGTGTAATTTGGAGCAAACCACATAACCAAACATGACAAGGAAAAAACCCAGAAACCAACCATGACAGAAAAGAAGATATCTAAATTCATTGGTAGAACATATGGTTTGCAATAATTACAAAGTCTCAATCCAAAGAAAACCGTTTACCAAAACACTAATCTATACATCTAGGATGCATTCTCAGTTCCCAAGTCATTGCCGGTCAAATAAAATGCTGATTCAAGTGCTTTGCCAAAGGAGCAGAGACCATATATAAATTAGCCCAGTAAACTTATACTTTACAAAAGATTCACGAATACATTTAAATTAAATCCATGCACTAACCACATAATTATTAGTTTAGTGTTTGCATTAATTAGTGTCTGCATTAATACGATATGCATGTTTTTTGGTTTAGTGTATGTATTAGTATGGTATACGTATTAGGAGTTATCATTATATGAGTTGAGCATGTACCAAGAGTCCTATAAATACCTCCGTAAATGTTTGAGTTTGTGTGTGAAAGTAAGCTAATTAAAGTGTTAAGTTTAAAGATACTTCGTTTTTTATCTCGCCATCATTTTTTTTTCTATCAAAATGATATGATAGCGAGGTTAATCTTGTACGACATGCAGCATACCAGAGCATGCATGTAAAATGAAAGATAGAAGAAGCCCAAAACAAGCTAGATGCAAATATTGAAATCCAAAAAGAAGAAAAGGTACATTGCACAATAGACATTGTGATACAAGATACAAAAAATACCAGACATGAAAAGGAATAGCAATAGATACCATGAGTCATGTTTTGCATTATCCATATCCAAACTTGAAATCCAAAATTTCTATTCAAATCTTATTCAGTATAGAATTTTCCAAACCCAACTCAATTAGGGTTTTGAGTATTCATAACCCAAGCCCATATAAACATAGACCTTTCTTGAGTTCTAGCTTTTTTGTACTGTGTACGAGATTTATGTTTTACAACTGTAACAAATTATCCATTATATATATTATAAGAGATATGCTTTTTTGATTGCACCTCCCCCAACACATTATTATCCATAGGCTAGTTCTTCTAAGTGCATGTGCATTAAACACTAATGATACGATCTTTTAAGCATCTAGAATTATAAACCTGTACTCTAGTAATGATTCATCAATACATCTAGATTAAGTTCATGTATTATCCATATAATTATTTTGCATTTAATCTAGTGTTTGTATTAATATGGTACATGTTGTTTAATCTAATTAATATTTATGTTAGAAAGGTAAATGTAATAGAACTTATTATTGTAAGGATTGTGTATTTACTAAGTGTATTATAAATATGAGTCTGTTTATAAAAGTAAATAAGTTAAATCAGAGTTCAGTTTCAAAATACGTATCCTTTTGATCTCACACTTAACCACCATGTTATTTTCGAACAAAGACAAGATCATTTCTAGCAAGCCATGT